TTTTTTGATGTAACTGTAACGGATTACAGTTACTAGATTTTTGTATCCTGATTACGTAACGCCGTTACATGTATTCCTTTACTCCCCAACCCTGCTCCTAAATACAGTTTACATCTAACATCACTGTCAAGCCTTGAGTCCCTTAGACTTATATCTAAGAGACCTGAAGAAGGGCTCTTTTTACTTGGCCAGTACGCAGCCAGAACTTTTTAGCAGCTGCTGACAACCACTCAGAACACCCTGCCTAACAAGCCCTGGCAACACCAACATCAGCCTATCATCAGGATGTCACTTTTTTGCCAGCACTACACTTAAAGTAAATGTTAACATTTGGTTATTATTGCAATAGACCAACCTTAACCCTAAAATAGAACCTTAGGCAGAACCATTTGTCCATAACAATATGAGAACATTGCCAAAAGATGCGCCTTTGTCTTGTTTCTGTGCAGGTCGTACACGGGGATCTTTAGCCACTTTGGAGAAGCTAGTTCAGATTTTCCCAGAAGACATCAGCCTAAAGAATGACTTGGGAGTGGCACATCTGCTTCTGGGTGACAACAAGGGTGCAAAACGAATATACGTATGAGGAGGTAAGATATCACTATTATGTTGTTATTATGTTTAGCAATGTGATGTGGATTACTCATTTTCCCCTTTTTGAAATTCCTCTTCAGGTTTTAGCTCGTGCCCCAGATGATGGATTTGCTAAAGTGCATTACGGGTTCATACTTAAATCTGAAAACAAGATTGCAGAGAGCATACCGTACCTGAGGGTAATTCTAATTTTATGGACAGAAATGCACAGCATATACCTTCCAATCGCACACACATACAAGTAATTAAATATTTAATCCATATTTGTGTGTGCTTAGGAAGGTTTGGAGTCTGGAGAGCCAGGAACTGATGACGGAAGGTTTTACTTTCATCTTGGGGATGCTTTACAGAGAACAGGAGACAAGAGTGTAAGATGAAAGTAAGAGTACGATTAAAACAGGAATTTACAGAGAAAAAAAAGTTGGTGTTTTTGCATGTGTTTAGGCCTATGACTGGTATGAGGCAGGGCATCGGCAAGGTCACTTTGCCTCTGTATGGCAGAGATCTCTGTATAATGTCCCAGGGCTTCGTGCTCAACCCTGGTGGATGACTGAAGAGTCTGGATATACAGCTTCAGTCAAGGTAAAGTCCATTTGCTTGTCTGCATGCATAAAATCTGTTACAGTGTGTGTGTGTATATATATATATATATATATACAGTGGTGCTTGAAAGTTTGTGAACCCTTTAGAATGTTCTATATTTCTTCATAAATATGACCCAAAATATCATCAGTGTAGCAAATTAGCTCAAAAGGGAAATGTATATAAATAATTACAATTAATTAAAATTAATTACAATTATTTACCTCAGCTGCCAGTAGTAACTGTAAGAAAATTAATATTACAGTTAACTAATCTGTTCGTCCAGTGAACATTCAGTATCATTTCGTATCAAATCTAAGAAAGGATATTTCCGTGGCCACAGAAAATAACTTTCTTACAGTAATGCATTAGAGCATGTAGCTATAGATCGAATCGTAAAAGGGACACTTTACAAGCGGTGACAGAACCAGAAACTCATGTAATATGTGCTAAAGTTTTATTAACTAAACACTAACACATAACTAATCTACACAAACAAACATACATCACTCATACATGGGGAGGTTGGAAGTGGATGACTGAAACTGAGAGAAACCAGAGAATGCAGTTATGGAAAATGAGTCAATTAACAACCTGAGTGAAACCATCAGCGCCGTTTTATAACGGGGTCTACAGCTTATCCTAAACCTCTGTTTCGTTTAGTTAAATGTACAATACTTGCATTGCCTTGGCCTTGAACGAGCGTCCGGATGCAGTCTCAGATGAAAGTCTTGATGGTTTGGAGGTTCGGTGGTGTAGGAGTTGCGATCACGTTCTTCCGGGTTTGAAGAGTGATGAACTCCAAAAAGATGTTATTCTGACTCTGTGGTGGTCGGGAGAGTGTTCTCCCAGATGAAGGTGATCAAGAGCTAAGAGAGACATCAGCTGAGATCCAAGGATCGTTGGTGAATGTAAAGACAAGGCCGAAGCCTGGCGCAGACTTAAGAGTTGCAGGAGAGTTCTAGCTCACATTCTCATCTTCTGAGAAACTAACAGAACCGCAGACTGAAGGCGGGTCACTGATGTGAGGCCTTTATCTTCTATCGAGGTCACACCTCTGGGGGATCAAAGAGCCAATGGTGTCTTGAACTTTTGGAGGGAAAGTTTATGACTCTGTCTCTTGTCTATAAATTAATGTAAGAAGTCATTTCCTATAGCAGAATGTGTCTGTGTGAGAGAATTAAGTAGGAGGGAAGATTCTCTCTACATACTTTTAGGTCGTAAAGTTGATCTGATCTGGCTGAGGTGTCCTGGTTGCCATGGTAACCAGGGGCCTGGGGGTCGTTCACAGACATGCTGGCACCCAGTATGTTTATTGGGTGAAGGGTCTGTGATTATTTGTTAATCTAATGAATAATTGGTTTGTTAAATCTAATGAAAAATTGTGTGTCTGATTGGTCCAAATGCTACATCAGATTTCCACACAAGTCCTGAAAGTAGACAAAGAGAATCCAATCAAATGAGACAAAAATATATGCTTTGTCATTTATTTAATGAGAAAAAGATCCATTGTTACTTATCTGTGAGTGTCAAAAGTATGTGAATCTTTGCTTTCAGTATCTGGTGTGACCCCGCTTTTGCAGCAGTAACTGCAGCTAAACATTTCTTGTAACTGCTGATCAGTCCTGCACAACAGCTTATATGAATTTTAGTACATTCCTCCATACAGAACCACTTTGAACTCTGTGATGTATGTGGGTTTTCTCCTATGAACTGCTTGCTTAGGTCCTTCCAAAATTTAAATTGGATTAAGGTCCGGACATTGACTTGGCCATTACAAAACATTAACTTTGTTCTTCTTTAACCCTTCTTTGGTAGAACGACTTGTGTGCTGGGGGTCATTGTATTGCTGCATGACCCATTTTCTCTTGAGATTCAGTTCTCAGACAGATGTCCTGATATTTTCCTTTAGAATTTGCTAGCAAAATTCAGAATTAATTGTTCCATCAATAATGGCAAGCCATCCTGGCCCAGATGCAGCAAAACAGGCCCACACTATTGGCGCTTTTCCACTGCATGGTAATAATCCCGCCCACTCTAAAGCGGTACTAAACTGCAGTGGAAACGCAAACCGAGCTGAACCGAGCCGTGCCGTACCGAGTCGTACCACGCAGTGGAAAAGCGCCATATGATACTACCACCACCATGCTACACCAAATATAACGCTTCTCATTTAAACCAAAAAGCTCTATTTTGGTCTCATCATTCCACAAAACATTTCTCCAATAGCCCTGTGGCTTGTTCACATGATCTTTAGCAAACTTTCAGACAGGTAAGCAATATTCTTTTGGAGTGCAGTGGCTTTCTCCTTACAATTCTGTTAAGTGTTCTCCTGATGGTGAACTTATGAACGTTAACATTAGCCAATGTGAGAAAGGCCTTTAGTTGCTTAGAAGTTACCCTGGGGTCCTTTGTAACCTTGCAGACTATTACAAGTCTTGCTTTTGGAGTGATCTTTGTTGGTTGACCACTCATGGGGAGGGTAACAGTGGTCTTGAATTTCCTCCATTTGTACATAATCTGTCTCACTGTGGACTTGTGGAGTCTCCTCAGAGATGGTTTTGTAACCTTTTCCAGCCTGATGAGCAACAACAACTCTTTGTTGAGAGAGATCTCCTTTGTTTGTGCCATGATTCACTTCCACAAACGTGATCAGACTAGTGTTGTCAAAAGACCTGGTATTTCGGTACCATTTTAGCTGGTGTCAATGATCTTATGTTGCATTTGGTCAGACTCAGCCCATTGCTTTACTTAAGTATATTATATTTTCCTTTTACAGCTGCAGACTGAGGAAGATCCTGAAACACACCAGCAAACCCTAAAACAGACAACAGTTTACAGATGTTCTGGCAGCAGAACTATGAGTAAACTTTTGGGTGAAACTTGTTTACTTTTTTCATACTTTTATTACTTGTGGAAAAACTTGAAACAATTTTAAATAAGTATAAAGAATGGCATTGGTTTTGTACATTTAATTTTTGTTTAACGTTATTAATAAAAATGTTGTTCAATTAGCATGTTTTTGTGTTTTGCTTTGGTACCGAAATTGGTACCGAGAACCGTGGATTTTCACTGGTATTGGTACCAAATACTGAAATTTTGGTACCGTGACAATACTAGATCAGACTTTGATAGATCCCTGTTCTTTAAATAAAGCAGGGCAGGTACTGACACCTGATAGTCATCTCATTGATTCAAAACACCTCTGAACAGATGGAGTCAGGGGCCGTTTACGCGACAACGTTTTCAGCCAAAAAAGGGGAAACTTTTTATTCATTTTGCCTGTTCGTTTACACGACAATGGCGTTTTGGGGACTGAAAACGCATATTTTTGAAAACGGGTTTCAAAGTGCAAGTTTTTGAAAACGCCACCGGTATCGTTTCCGTGTAAACACCCAAAACGTGAATCTTTGAAAACGGTGACGTCATGCGCGTGCGTAGTACATGTTAGGTATGTAGACATGCGCAGTACGTGTAGATTTTAAAGGCAAGCGCGAACAAACATACACAACAATGGCGGAGTACATGGTACTGTTGTTGCTGCTCAAGAGTTTGCTAACGCTTCTTCAGTAAAGTGTGGATTTACTTCACCAATATTACAACCAACAGCGGAGACGCATCATATACAACATATAATCGTCACTTCCCTACAGGTACTGTTTATTAACAAGGTGACAGCGCCAACTACTGGCATGGCATACGTAATACAGTGTTTTTGGCCGTTTTCGCGGATATGTGTAAACGCTAATTGTTTTGAAACGTTGTCATGTATATGTGAAACTTTTTAAAAATGCAAGGGAAAAACTTTTCCATTTTTGACTACATCGTTGTCGTGTAAACGTAGCCTAATTCTGCATTCAAATTAATTGCTAATTCTAGAGATTCACATACTTTTGCCACTCACAGATAGGTAATACTGGATCATTTTCTAGAATAAATAAAAACAAATATTTATGAAAATATGTATTTTTATAAAGATCTGATGATCTTTTTTGGGGATATATTTATTCAGAAATACATAAAATTCTAAAGGATTCACAGACTTTTAAGCACCACTGTGTGTGTGTGTATATATATATATATATATACAGTTGTGCACATAAGTTTACATACCCCTTGCAGAATATGCAAAATGTTAATAATTTTAACAAAATAAGAGGGATCATGAAAATTGCATGTTATTTTTTATTTAGTACTGTCCTGAATAAGCTATTTCACACAATGGATGTTCATATATACTCCACAAGACAAAATAACTTTATTTATAAAAAATATCTTAAATCTTAATACTGTGTGTCATTTCCTGGATGATCCATGACTGTTTTTATGTTTTATGATAGTTGTTCATAAGTCCCGTGTTGGTCCTGAGCAGTTCTGCCTGTTGTTCTTCAGAAAAATCCTCCAGCTTCTGCACATTCTTTGGTTTTCCAGCATCTTCTGCATATCTGAACCCTTTCCAGCAGTGACTGTATGATTTTGAGATCCATCTTTTCACTCTGAGGACAATTGAGGGACTCACCTAATAATTACAAAAGGTGAAAACATTTACTGATGCTCAAGAAGGAAACACGATGCATTAAGAGGCGGGGGATGTAAACTTTTTAAGTTGGATGAGTAGGGGAAATTGTCCTTATTTTGTCTTCTGGGAAACATGTATGTATTTATGGAGGGGTGAGAACCAGAAGGGCGTAAGTGACATTTTGGGCGAAATGGAGATATATAAAATGAAAACTCTTGATGAGCTCTTTCTACTGCCAAAAGGACACAAGTGAATTCTTAATAATTTTGGAGTTATTCATTAGAAACCAAAAGACTTAACCCTGAACATACTAAATCAGTTGGAGCCAAAAAGGCTGCACTTACGCCCCTTTGGCACTGAGAAATGTACTGTGGCTAAAGCCTGTGGATAGTACTTGAGTCAAAATGGCTGACACCACATGTAAGCCAGGTAGGTCAACCATAAGAAGAAACCAGTTTTTTACTGCTGAAGATGTAATATTAATCTTATTTTGTGACAAAGAGCTGGATGATGAGGAAGAAAATAAAATATCCAGAATTCATTGTCAGTGAGGTGTAGCTTGCTAGTGGGTAGTAACCAATAACTTACATTCTGATGGTACGTCCCTAGTGAAAAATAAATATACTAAAATGTATTTGAAATACATTTATTTCATGCTAAGTATACTACAAATATATTTACATATTTATGTACTTAATAAAAATACCCTGCAATGGTACTTTTAGTATAGCCTACTAATGTGGTATACTTAAAGTCTGCTAAATTGGAACAATTTTAAATTTTATGCTTAATGCACTTTAATTGTGCTGAAGTCCAAATAAAAATATACTGAAGTATATTTGATTGTGCTAAAGTGGAATTATTGCAAGTATACTTCAGGTACACTTTAAATATCTTGCATTTAAAGACCATCATAAATAGTGAAATTAAAACATATTTTAGGCTTAATATCAGGGTGTCCGCGGGTCCTTAAAAAGTCTTAAATAACATTTTCCTAATATAAGGCCTTAAAATGTCTTAAATTCGGATTCGATGGGTCTTAATTATTTTTGGTCACATTACCGCTAAAATATCTTCAGTATGACGGATCTAACGACTGTTTACAATCATTGGACAGACCGAAGATTTTTCGAGTTACTGCGTCATCAGAGAGATTTGCAGTAAGTTAGCAGAATACAGAATACAAGGTCGCGCTGAGGCTCACTCTGTTTGTCTC